GGCCGTGCCTGTGGATCGTACAACCAGCACGGGACCACAACATTCAAGAACACTTTCTCTGGGCACAATGCCGGCCGTTCCAGTTGATGCTGAAAAAAAGGGCTCCGATTGATTCAGAAGATTCGGAAGTAGCTTGATCGAAGAGGATTCACCTTCAGTGTAGAGGTATTACTCATGTGCTGAATATTCTCCAGAACTTGGTTGTCTGTTAACAAACCAAACGGCTTCTCACGACATCGACTGAAAATCTCCCACAGCGTCACGCCGAACGCCCACACATCGCTGTGTGTCGAGAATTTGCCCTGAAATATCCAAATCAACCCTGATCACGGGGCGCCATTAAATGGGAATTCACTATACGGAATGAGTTCTCTCTAATAATTTTTTTTTCAATAGAAGCAACCATAAAGAGAAAAGTTCCCTTTAATTCATGCATAGTGGATCCTAAGCGTTGAAAAACGTATCCGAAAATACGAACGGATAGCTGTGCACTTCTTATGAACCAGAGAAGGACTCTTCTACAAGTGAACGCTGTTTGGTCGAGGAGGGGTCATTTTGCGCTTCCGCTATTTCAACTCATGTTAGACAGCGTTCAGACTTCGCGACGGCAGAGCTCCGGTCGCGCGTCTGACGCTATCGATACGCATGCTTTCAACTGCATCGATCGCGTCGAGAGCGTGAGCAAAGCGCTGCCGTCGCGAAGTCTGAACGCTGTCTTAACGAACAGGTCACACTTTTGATGAATCCTATCACTTTGATGAAGATGCGAAATGGCAAGAGAGCCATTTTAGTTATGAAACTTCAGAAGCCATTTTAGTTTCGAGAGTTCCGAGGTCTTCACGGCTTGGCCTCTAGAAGCTTTGGTGAGTATCATTTGGTGTTCCAACGAGCCGAACTGCGCCCCCACACGTGGTGATAACTCTAATCATAAGGGTGACAGCTGTCCCCCACCCCATCAGTGGAACGCGTCCATCTTTAGATTGAGCTGATTAGGTCTTGCGCAGAAATGGAAACAAGGTTCCATATCTGCGTAGGAAGATATGGGAATGGTGGAAAGAGCTCGACGAAGGCATATCTTCGTCTAAAAACGGCGACAGTGTCCTCGTCACACACTGTGGAGCCGCAAATGTAGGACAACCTCCGAGATTGCGGGAACGGGGAACTATTTGCACAAGGAAGCGACTTGATTGATCAGGCAATCTGGGATTGTGCTTTTAAAAGGTTGCTTCGATTCTCACTTTAAATAGGTAGTTCAGAGCGGACGAAGGGCGTGTCAGGTAATATGAGTGTGCCGCGGTAAGAACCCGGTCTCTGCCAGTTGTTGAAGCAGGTACGCGACAACGGTTGTTGCGAAACGAGTTATACGATTGACATGATACAGCCTTGTCACTTGCTCGCCTTAACAGCTAAAAGGAGAAGGGGTCTGGCACCACACCAAACTCACCCCCCCCTGACACGCCCCACCGTCCGCAGCGAACTACACCATATCGATTCAGCCTAAAATTATGAGCCATTTCTAGGGGGACAAAAGGATTTGGAAAAGGTTTTTAGCGGCATGTTACTCCAACGGAGAAGTTTAGACTGATCCATCTCATGCATTCTTTGAACACTTCTTTCCCACAAGAAAAAAGTAGAGTCATCTTCAGATGAAAATCCGGTGGTTCCAGCAGAGGGGTCCCATACTGAAATATAGCAACTAACCAGCAGCAGGCTTTCCCATGCCATCCATCGGATGGGCAAAACAAACTGTCCTTCGACTCGATAGTAGTCATTTGAGTAGAGACTTCGTGCCATGCCAAAATCAGCAATTTTAACATTTCCCTCTTCATCGACCAGGCAATTTCGTGCCGCAATGTCTCTAAAAAGCAATGAATTATTCCACGTTTATTCACTCATCAGTGGTCCCCACTCAGCAGTACATACCTATGCACGAAATTGCAGGATTCCAAATAGGCTAATCCGGCTGCCAACTGCGTTGCCACGGAAATGCAGTAGTGGCTGCTGAAAAAGCGAATTCAAAGCGGACATTAATGTAAAACGACATTTCTGGTAAGATCTATTGTGGGTAGGCTACCATTATTCTTTTTTTTCGGCTTGCAAGTGAATGCATCACAGTGCACGTCTTGCCGCTCAAGAAAAATTTCGTAAAATACGACTCCTCGGGAGAAAAGAAGTTTCCTCTCCTCGTAAGGCCCCCTGGGAAGAAGAAGTGCCCTCCTCTGGCACGAACCCCTGGAAAAAAGAAGTTTCCTCATCTGGTACGGCCCCTTGGGAAGAAGAAGTTCCCTCCTCTGGCACGAACCCTTGGAAAAAAAGTTTCCCCCCTGGTACGACTCCACCTACGCTCTTCCTGAATTTTCCGAGTTCTCATCCGAAAAAAAGAGTTTTTTACCCGAAAATCTCCCCACATTTTCCCCCCCAAAAATTGCCGTCTCGCGGAAGAGTCAACTGTTGAACACATCTCTCTCAAGAGCAAAACGACCTCCAACGACCGAGTGAAACCCTGCTCGCTGGGGATCCCCAAAGTACGACGTGCCCTGATGCACCAGCAGACCGACAAGAGGGTGGAGCAAAACTTCCCTGAGCGCAGAAAGGTTTTTGAACTGCAAAAACTCACTCGATGTTCTCCATTTTACCCATGTACGACCGCAAATCACCATTGACCATATATTCCATGATACAGATCATTGGCTTATCAATCGTTGACACACCGATCACCTCGACCACATTGGGATGCTTCAGGTTTCCTGAAAAGCCGCTCGTTTTAGATGGGCTCCTTATAAGGAGCACGCAAAAACAGCGCAGTACCTAAAACTCTGATCTCGCGAAGAAAGGCAATCTCGTCGTCTTGTGAAGTGCTGTGAAGACGTTTGACAGCAACTTGACGGGACTCCAGAAGACATCGATGCACCTGGAAACGAACGGTTGAGAGGGATTCAGCCGCGATTCCGAAAAAAATCTTGGAGGTACCTCGCCGAATTCTCCCTGACCGATTTTCTCAATGAAAATCAATTGATTTCGATTGATTTCTGGGAGAGTCGTACAGTATACTTCACCGTAATCCGAGTATTTGACCGCTGACGACAGTGGGTTTCTGTAAACGAGACACATCAATGGAACAGTTTCTGACTGCAGAGAGTACGAAATAGGTTTCCCGTTGGAGAGCTTGGGAAGAAAGTTAAGAAAGAGAAAAATCTGGGTAGAGTTTACCCATAGCACGATGGCTCCTCTGAAAACCGAAATGCAAAAGGACAAAAGGGCATGGTTTGGCTGGGTGGGAGCGTTTTCTGGGTTGCCGTCCCAAGCCGATGGAGACTCCTGTGGACGGGCATGTGACAAGAGAATCGTAATTCGCCGCGCTGGTGGGCGTCGCGTGCGACGTCGCGCCCGCAAATGACGATGGTTCCAGGTAGTAGATGGCGACAACAGGCAATTCAGAACCGAAAATAGTCATGAATGTCTACGATGACGGGGTCTACATGAAGTCCGGTGCTCCAGTCGACAGGTTAACACGAGTTAAGAAAACGCCGCGCCCATCGCCGCGCGCGGCGGAGCGGCAAATTACGATTCTCTTGCCCGTCTCCCGTTCCCCTCCTGTGGAGACCTGTAGATTCCTGTGAAGTAGCAATAGCTTCGTTCACACTAGACAAGGTCTACAGGTCTTATCAAGGTGTGACGAGGGAACTGTGGAAAGGAACTAGTGAAGTGCAAAATGCCCCTCCCAAGACGAATAGCGCCGACAAAAGTTGGCGCCGGTGGAAGCAGATTGCAGCTGCCATCACGAAACAAAGTGTCTTACCGTGGGGATGAACCTCTACTCTTGGTTTCAGCATAATGCGAGACATCCATAGCCTGGTTGTGGAAAGAGCTCAGCAGCGGTTCCCGGGAAGATTTGTCCTTCGA